TTCGTTTTTCCATTTTTCTTTTTTTTTTTATAAAAAAAAAAAATCCCCAGAAAAGGGAAGGGGGAGAGGGGTGGACTTTTGCTGCTGTAAATAGGGTGTGTGAGGCTGTATTCACTATATGGTTGGAGCCAGAATATGAGAGAAGCATGTATTGTGGCTAACTACGGACAGCCCGGAGGCTGTCTTATACTACCACTAGGGTGGCACTGCCACCCTAGCGTCAGGTTAGGCCTGACACGGTGATTTAATCCAAATTTTAGTTTTTCAACAGTTTGCCCTCTGGGCATCCGTATTATGTAAACTAAAACACCGTCTCAGTGAGCAAATCATGTGGCCACTTTGGCTGATCCACCCCGTTGCCTCTTGTGCCAACGTCGAAACGTGGTTCTACCTCTCGATTAGGGAACCGTAGCACCGGCGCCACTATCACCATGTCCTTGCCGATATGTTGGGGGTGATACTTGGTGAAAAACTCGGGCTTCATGATACTAGCGCCGCTCGATTTGATGAGTGTTCCCATGACTCTGGGAAGCAAGTAGAGCATCGAGTGGTAGTGGCGGTAGACGGGAGATCCGTTACGCTGCCAAACATCCTTCCAGACATGCTCTGGGTAAGTGCCCACACTCTCGACGAGCCACTGAGAGTAGTAGTTCAAGGCAATCTATCAATTCTCAGTAGGCTAGAACACAACAAGGGAGGGGAAAAAAAGAGTCCATACCTTTACGGAGAATGATCCGCCTACTTCGGCTCTGCGTAAAAGAGCCGTCATGATTCCAATCGATCCGGCGACACCCGTACTGATACCATGAGTACACAACATGGTCATGACGAACAAGGTTTAGGTACATACCAGTAGTCTGAGTTTGGGAACACAGGAGTGACTGGTTCGTCGTTGCCCATGGCTCTGCCAAATCCGTACGAAACGCCACAGTTTGCATCACTGATTTGTTGCCAGCCGGACCGATGAGCCCACGGACCCTGCCAGCCGTAGCAGTCCTCGCCACAGTATATGATGCCCCTTTCACGTTGCCGACAGAGTTCCGTGATATCCTTTTCGGCAAACCCGTACTTGTCGAGGACACCGGGCCTGTACCCCTGGAGGAAGACATCGGCATCGAGGATGAGACTGCGCAACGTCTCGCGGTCTTCTTCCTTGCGCAGATCGAGGCAGGCATTCCACTTTCCGTGGTTGAGGTCCGGATGCAGAATGGACAAATCAGTCAGATGCGGCGCCGTGATGCGCATAACGCTGGCGCCCAGCTCCGCCAGCGATCTGGACACGGCGGGTCCCGCAATGACGCGGGTCATATCGACAACTTTGAGGCCCGCGAGTGGTCGCGAAGCCGAGGTGTGCGGAGCGTCGGGCCACCAGCACGGCTTTTGGGTCTCGTTGGGATGGGCCTCGAGCTCAAACAGGCTGGTCTGGGCATTGGCTTTCCCGTGCTCGCTGTTGCGAAACTCGTCCACTGTCCAACATATCGTACCCGCTTGCTTGGAGGAGTCGGCGATATCCTGCATTTCCTCTGCGGTATATTGTGCCACTTTTTCGTGATATGGCACCAAGGCTTCATCATATGTGGAAAACTGTTGATCCTCAGGCATATCCAAGGCCTTCAGAATCGGACCCGGGTTCATCGAGCCTGCCGAGGTTGAGAATTAGAAAGCAGGATGATTTGATGGAACAACTTACTATGCACATGGAAGAATCGGTCATCTTTGGTACGGTATATGTTGGTGGCAACCGCACGATACAAGGAGCTGGCGGTCTTGTGTATGTCACGATTGGGGAAATGCTTGAACAGGGCTTCTTGAGTTGCTGGAGAGCCTAAGGAGCTAGCAGTGATATTGTCTCCAGCTGGATCCAGCGTCCAGAGGAAGCTGGACATGATGAACAATTGAGCATGGTCTCTTTCCACTCGTGTTAGTAAGTCGAGGGACAACTTGATATGTGGGTCCTTACGTATTGATCTTGATTTCAACTGGTCCCACGCCGTACTTCTTCTTGAGCAAGACATTGAGAATCGTGGCTTCGTATGCCTTTAGTGCCGAGATACTCTCAGCGAAGCGCCAATTGATGGGCAGTGTTGGCGCATCGCTGCCCTCAAACGTTACGGTGCTGGCTGCTTCTTGAGCCTCGGCTGGGAGGTTCTTCTCCAACAGTGGGTTTCCGAGTATCTCTTTTCGAAAGAGCAGGTCTGTCTGCTCTGGAATAGAGTAGTGTTCTGGCGCCATCTTGATTATAGAGGGTACGACTTTTCAAAAAGACAGATATCAGAGACTGCAAGACACGATACAGATTTGAAATAAAACCAAGTTCGATATAAGGGCGAGTTGACAGCGGATTTCGGTATCTGGTCCTCCCCGCTGCAACACCCCGGGGACTGTGATCCACATAGGCGGTGGAGCAACTGGCAACTGAATGGGGACACTAAAAGACCGGCATAAGACGATGCCGTTGCACTGATGCGCTGCCTGCCCCCTAGAGGTTGATTATAGTGCCAATCCATTATGTCAACCATTATATCGCTGGAGCAGCCGAGGCTAGTAAACATGAAAGCCGTCGAGGGACGGACCCCGCGCAGTATAGATGCCACTGGGAAGCGTCAAGATCCGGAATTGTAGTTATACTGTACCCAAGTACTGAGGGCGACGATTCATTCGTCGGCCCCGCGTTTCTTACTTGGGTTGCATCGATCGGAATCAATTACTTGAAATGTTTGCAAATGCAGATGCTCAATATGATGTTTTCCCATTAGTACCTACATGCACTCGATTGCCTTTTGCGAGTCACATGTGTGTAGTTGCTAAAATCGTAGAATTCAGTTGGAGTTGCGACGTGGGATTCTGCGTAACACGAGATAATCTTGGCGTACAAGTATAGAGATTTACTTATTCCGCTTTGTTGTCTACTAGGTATAGCTCTATGCACTCAGTGATGACGAGTCAGCTGTCATTCGTCCATTCATCAAATCTATCCCTTTGAATGTCGCTGGAAGCTTTATGCTTCCTAGAATGCGGCATTCACGCTGGCGCTTTTGGGAAGATCGATACCTATAGCAGCAGTAGCGCCCGCATCCACTGGCAGAATAGCGCCGGTGATCCATCTGGCGTGGTCAGAGACCAAAAATACTACGGCGCATGCAGCGTCCCAGGCATTTCCCTCGGTGCCCAGCAGCGACCGACCTTTTCGAGCAGCCCGAGTCTCTTCGCTCATTCCATTGGCGTACATCATTGGCGTGTATAACATCTAATTGAACCATTAGCTATCAGTCATTGTTCATTTCAGCAAGGGATAAAACATACGCCGGGGCACACGCAATTGACCCGAATTCCGTCCTTAGAATGATGAGCCGCCATAGCCCGCGTCATGTTGACCACGGCGCCTTTGCTAGTAGGGTAGAGCAAGTGCGGCGTCCCTCCTTTCAAGCCGGCCACGCTGCCCATGTTGACAATGGAGCCCTTGGCAGTACCCTCGTTCTTGAGCATGGCTGGGACAGCATACTTTGTCGTTTGTACCATGCTCGAGATGTTGACCTCGAGCCCTTTGGCCCACTGCTCCATGTCGACCTCGACAGCTGTGCCAGGGGCTCCCGAGATGCCGACGTTGTTGATCAAGATATCGAGCCGACCAAACTTGTCAAGCGCCAACTGCACGGCAGCCTCGCAGTCTGCAGCCAATGTGATATCGCCCTGCATGGCAATGGCGGTGCCGCGGTTGGGCTCTGAATTTGCTAGCTTGACTGTGGCCTCTGCCCATTCCAGGTTCCGGTCCAGGCAAATGACATTGCAACCGTCGTCTGCCAATAACACGGATATTGCTCGACCGTTTCCAATGCCCTCACCCACGCAGCCTGCGCCAGTCACTATCGCGACTTTTCCACGTAGCGACCGTGATGGTGGTTTATCTGGAATGTCCGACATTATACTCTGTAGCACGCCTGTACTTGGATGCCCCGCAGGTGACCTATAGGGCTGGTGCTCTTTTCATACTTTGACCAACCAACCCAGTTCCAATGAGGAGCCTAATGATCAAAGTAAACTATGTGCTCAAGTCTGGTATATCATGAACAACGAAATATAGGTGAGTCACGCAGTCTAAATGTCAAATATAAATAAAAAAAAACATTGCCAAATTTCTATACCTAAATGGCAATACCATCTGGAGCTTACCGCGGGCATGGGGGAGCATGTCATCTGCGGGGTCGGCTGCGGAACTCATGGCTATCCACAATCGGTATACCGAGCGAGCTTCTGCTGATCCTGTGTGCAAGAACGCCAACATTCTCTTTTCGGACTCGTTTGCCTCTTGTTAATCTGATCTATCAGAGTTTGCCGAAATGGCTGATTATACTCAGTATGGAGGCCCCAGTAAGGAATGGCTTGCCATTGCAGACAGCCTGCCGCAGGTCTCGCCAGACGCCCCCCGGAGTCAGCGGAGACGACTCCTCAATGAGATGCGCGAAAAGGCCGCCGCCGAGGGAATGAAGATACTCGGACCGCAGGTGAAGATGCATGACTACTCTATCCCGACGTGCGACGGCTCCAGCATCGAAGCAAGAAGCTACCGTCCTGTGAGTGTGGATAGCAGCAAGGCCCTGCCCGTGTACTATCACCTCCACGGCGGCGGGTGGTTCTTTGGCACACTGGCTTCAGAGGATGCAACTTGTGCGCGCATTGCTATCAATACACAGGTCGTGGTATGTAGAGACTAGCTTTTCATCTAATCCCCTGCTGCGACCTCGAATGAGCATTATTCTACCGGAGTTTACGCTTCTCTTATGCTTACTCCATGGACGCACTACTAAAAGTTAAAATAGGTCTTCAATGTGAACTACCGCCACACGCCCGAACACGTCTATCCAACTGCGTGGGAGGATGTCGAGGATGCATTCGAGTGGCTACACGATCACATTCAAGACATTGGGGGCGATGCCAAGCAGGTTGTCATGGGTGGCGTCTCGGCCGGTGCACAACTTACGGCATCCTTTGTGTTGGGAAAGCACCTGGGCAAGGTTTCCTCTGCTGAGCGCCCGTCGCCTGTGGGTCAGATCTTGATGATCCCAAACTTGGTCAACATGCATTGCTATGAGCCTCTGAAAGCCAAGCTCAAGAGCCCCTCGCTCTCATCCTATGAACAGAACAAGGATGCCGCCATCATGCCCATGCCAGTAGTTCAGTTCTTCATGAATCAACTGAAGATCGATGGCCCGCAGGCCGATGATCTAAGACTTAATCCTATACTTGCATCTGAAGATCAAGTCAAAGGACTTCCTCCAACCGTCTTTGGCATCGCCGGCTGGGATATTCTTAGAGATGAGGGGCTCTTCTGGGCTGAGACGCTTGCTACCCTCAGGTAAGTTGACGCTCTTTGGAAATTCAGTCATAATTGCCTTGCTAAATGTTGCCTTTTTATAGTGTTCCTACAGATGTGCACCTCTTCCCGGGTCTCCCGCACGGTTTCCGCCGAGCAGGAGACAAGCTTGCTGCGTCGGAACGTTGGGACAAGGTCATGGAGAATGGAATAACTTGGGCTCTATCCAACCCTGCTGCTTCGGGCAAATTCGACATTCAGGTCGAATGAGAAGCTCATAACTTGGCACTATGATGACACAATCTAGACACTAGAATAACGCTGCCTAATAGATCAAGACTGCGAACCGCTCGCGGTATCTCAAAGTCTAGAATTTTCTTTACATGCGTTTGATCCACTGGTACAGCAGGATGAATCAGGCAGCACGATTGATATGATATAGTTGAGGAATGTAATGCTTCGAGTGGAGGCTTGGTGAGCGCAAATAGTAACAACTGCTCATACTAGTGCTTCTAACTCACGGCTTTCCGCGGCAAGGATGTCTTGAAAACTCCATGAACGCTGCTCAGCTCCGCCTAGCTGAGCTACGCCTTGCTATAGCTCCGCCCTGTATCGTTCAGCTCAGTCTTCTCGACACTCTATCGGATGTGCAAGGAGTTTTGTAAAGAGAAAACTTATAGTTCCGATTCTTGGAAGCTAAGAGAACTCTCGCTAACTAAACATTCGGACATATATCGTGCCGGCTGCGCTAGGGTTCGGACACGCCTTCATCCGCAGCGACCGTTCCAGGCGGGTTGCCTATAAAATTTAAGCTCTACGAACTACAATCTGGCCGCGGCCGGCAATGGCATGCTAGCGTGTGGAGCTGAAAGACGTAGTGTACATCCTTTGACATTGGGGGCTCGCCGTTGAAAGTGCTAGGAGTGACGACTTTTCGCGAATAAACAAAATAATGTGTGGTGTCTCTATACCAGAAGGTGAGAACCGAGTACCTAGTTTGACTTGAAGTCTGGAGACAAGATGTCAATTGCGCACCAATCACTTCGAGGCTGTGCTTGGAGTAGCGCTATTACAACGCATATATCGACCACTTGTGCACGCCAAGACTTACGGATATAGAAACGCCGGTCAGTATAATGCGCATAGATGCTTGATTTATTCACCCGTTATGTTCAATTGATGGGAAGGTATCGAGAACAAGAAGCTTTCTTTAATTCTCTAGTCATATTATAGGTCAACCTTCAACGCTACTCTAGGTTGACAAGTTAATGAATGAGCAAGAAGATTTCGGTCCTCTTGGGCATGGACCCATGTGTATATGTATATGTTCTATATATAGACGCTATAGGAACTGAGGTTTCTATAGAAGGTCGTGTTATCCTCCTTCGAACAAGAAAATTATCTGAACCATCCTCATCCTCATCTGCACTCTTCACTACACAGTCAACACTACATCTTTACTACATATACATTTTCTCCAGAACTCATCCGATTCTAAACCATCAACATGAAGACCGCCACTATTCTTCTCGCCTTCATTAGCACCGCTTGGGCCGGATGTTACACAACTGGTGACGACTTTCAAAACAAAGACAACGCTCGTTTCAACGCTCAAAGAGCGTGTGAAGGCTATGACGGCAATGCTGGAGCTTTCCAGGGCACCTTCGCGCCCGGGGAGGCCAAGAGCGTCTGTGTTCAGGGCACGACTACGCAAAAGTACAACATGGTTGTCCAGAATCTGAACCTTGATTCTTCATTCGATCTCGCGGATGCTGATTGCACCCTCCGTCTTCACAATGAAATCAATGGCTGCGACAAGGGTGGCGAGTCTGACGTTGCTGGCTGGCACTTCCGGTAAGTTCAATCCCAATCTAACTTTGTACATGCCTACTTCTTTTGCGGACAAGACTGATATTTTCTAGTGTCGATCCCAACAATGGCATTTGCTAGTTTGCTCTGATTTGTCTATTTGATTATGCCATGGGCAAAGATGAGGGAGGGTACAAAGTGCTCAAATCTTGTCTGTCTGTCTTTCTTTCTCAACACATTGATCCCAAAGATTGTTCATGGATCCTGCTTGCGAAACATTTTCAATTATTCCGCTCTTTACGATTATTATTTATGTCTTCCCCCCAATTCACTCTCTTTCACAATATATAACTGAAAATATTATCTTTATGAATAAATATTTACATGCATATTACTCCTATACGCCGGCGAGCTATTATATTACTGTGAAATAACGGATGGATTATCTGCACCATATTAACATAAACCACTCACAGGTATTTGTGAGTAAAAGCATAAATCCATTCAATCTTTTTATGTGCCCGTCCAGGTACGTTCAAGTACAATATACAATAAATAATTTACGTGGCATCAAGAGAAGATTATCGTTATTCAATACTTTTCCTTTTAATGCTTGGGGTGCTTAGGATGACTACATATTTTTTTGGCAGAAGCAAAAGTTCATAATCAGCATCATGCCTCTCGAGTAATCGTGGTTTTCTTTTATGACAAGTTTGATTGTGATAATATATACGCAGCGTGTAGTCATCCTTAAGCTATATACTTATAAGACGTGCAAACTGTCGCATGCGAACAAATTGTGGCGTGCCTTTCTCACTTATAAGTGGCGCAGCAATCGTGTTGTACCTCATAACAACCACCTCGCATCAAGGTCAGCGGCTTTCCGAATGAGCCCACGGTCTTATTTTATTCAAACTCTCGCGCAAAGAATAAAATCAAATTTTACAAATTATTGGACGCATCCACGCGACGCGTTGTTGTGATGTAAAGAATAATTAGGTCTAATGGCGCAGACAGGCACGGCAGGTTGGTAAGCTCACTGATTCCCCATTGTCGGGATGTAGAAGTCGCGCCATCTAAACTATATTATAAATCACCCGTAGCGCGTAATTGTGATTACTGTGCACATTGCAGATTAAGGCATGGGCCCCCCGTTACCCCTCCCAATGCACGCAGTCGCTTCGGCTGGCAGTTGGGGGATCAGTTGGTTCACTGGTAAGCGAGCTGTGGTCTCCCTGTTTTACAAAGCTAAAAAGTCCACGCATACAGATTTTTTTGCACATGGGTGCCCTCAATTTGAGCTATAGCTTTTCATAGTAGCGTAGTTTGTTTCTACGCGTTGTAATTCTGATGAGACTGACATTTGCATTGTTAACATATGATTTGCAGCGTAAATAAGTTGTAACAAGTGTTATTATGTATTGCCAGCATCTTTTAGGTACATAACTACAAGCATAACGTGCTCTATTAGAGAACTTTGATTATGCATAGCAGGGTTGTAGGTCTATCGCCATCTACAGAATTTATAAGCAGGTTGAAGCTCAGTCAGACCTTGACGTGACTGCTCCACCTCGATCGGGCCAAAGTGTAAGGCTGCCAAGCAAATCCAAAGGCCGGTCAAGGATAGTCAAAACAAAATTTATATTATGGCGAAGATTAACTAATTATATAAAGTCTGCCATCGATTTCTCTCGACCTCACAGATAAGTCAATTGAATCCTCCACATAAATCTTCTGCGCGCCCCCCTTGATGCTCGTTCCGCGCAGACCAATTGTACACCATGAGGCTGACTACCATTTTTATATCGTTTCTCTTGTCGCTCGCTACCGCATTGACTCCATGGAATGAATGGAGCCACGGTCGTGTGACACTTCAAGATGTATCAATACATTTTCGCTACTCTGGCACTGGCCCTCCTCTCCTGTTGGTGCACGGGAACCCTCAATATAGCCTGACTTGGCAGACTATCGGACCAATACTGGCCCAGAACTACACAGTCATTGCCCCGGACAATCGCGGTGCTGGAGACTCGTCAATACCGCCCAATGGGGACTACAGCGCTGAGAGCACGGCTGATGACCTGAAAGGCGTGCTCGACTTTCTAGGCATCAACGAGACATATGTTTTTAGTCACGACAAAGGTTCAGGTTTCGCCACCGCGCTTGCTCTCAAATACCCAGCCGCTGTGAGGATGCTTGGACTGAGCGAGTACGCGCTGCCGGGGTTCGGCTACGAGGATGCAGCAATGCCAGCACCATTCTGGGATCTATATGCCAATCCGCAGCTGGCCTTTTTCCAGATTCCTGATTTTGCAGAATTCTTGATTTCGGGCAAAGAAAAGCAGTTCCTCAGCTGGTACTTCTACCACGGTTCATACAGCGGCGGCACATCATTCTCCGAAGACACCTTGAACCAGTACACTACAAGTATCGCCAAGCCCGGATTCTTGAGGGCCATGTTCGGACCCTTTTCTGCTGCATCCGTCGCCGCGGATCACGCCTTTTTTACAACTTCGTTATCCGCGGGGAAAATGGCAACGCCGATCCTTGGCCTTGGGGGAGAAGCGAGTTTTGGTATCCCAAGCATTTTGCAGAGTGTTCTCGGCAATCTCAGCACTACTTCCGAGATCGACGTTGTACCGAAAGCTGGACACTGGATTGGTAAGTGTGTTTGTCTTCTTTTCTTCTTTT